GTGGCAGGGGCCAGGTCTTTTGTTGGCCTCAGTATGCAGTTACATGCGAGCACGACATGTCAAGGCATTCAGAGAAGCGGAGCAGAAGGCTGCAGCAGAAGCTCATTGCCATGTCCAAGACCTCAGCGAGGTCCGAACGCGACCGTGAGCAAGATGTGGTATGCATTTCTTGTCAAGTTGCAGCCGCTTTTCTCATGACCACGGTTGGTAGATACTAGTACGGTACTAGTGCCTCGAAGCTTGGAAGAGTGCGTATGCGCAGGCTGTGACGGACTTGAAGGTGGTTGAACAAGAAAGCTCCAAAGCTTCCACGGATGTCAACGACCTCCGCCACAGCTTGGCTGAATTGCAGGAGGTAGGGGACCTGGATGGAGTGGCAGGGGCCAGGTCTTTTGTTGGACTCAGTATGCAGTTACATGCGAGCACGACATGTCAAGGCATTCAGAGAAGCGGAGCAGAAGGCTGCAGCAGAAGCTCATTGCCATGTCCAAGAACTCAGCGAGGTCCGAACGCGACCGTGAGCAAGATGTGGTATGCATTTCTTGTCAAGTTGCAGCCGCTTTTCTCATGACCACGGTTGGTAGATACTAGTACGGTACTAGTGCCTCGAAGCTTGGAAGAGTGCGTATGCGCAGGCTGTGACGGACTTGAAGGTGGTTGAACAAGAAAGCTCCAAAGCTTCCACGGATGTCAACGACCTCCGCCACAGCTTGGCTGAATTGCAGGAGGTAGGGGACCTGGATGTGGCGCCTGCTTAGCCATTTGGCTGCGGAGCACGATGATTGCTCCGAGGCCCAGCGCGACACTGAACACGCATCGGTGTCTCCGAGTGCAGATCAGTCGCGCAGCGAGGAGATGTGCGAGGCAGGCGGCAGAACCGTCACGTCAGTTGGCAAATTTGCAGTCTAAGCGACAGCACTTGCAGCGAGTAATCCAATCTTAACGCCGCGTGTCTTGCGTGAAGGACATGCAGATCCAAAACAGTCTCGAGGGGGCCTCTGAGGCCACAGCAATCGGCTTAGAATGCAACGTCTTGTCCACGTGCTGCCATGCTGCACCGCTGAACATCGCTTGACTCCCAGCTGGTGGAGTGTAGACGTGTGAAAAATGCAGCCGTTCAGGCTTTCAGTGCTTTGGCCCTGAGTCAGATTAGAAGAACTCTAGGTGTAAAAGACTGGGCCACATCGAAGCCGACAGTTTGAGACCAGCTCCAAAAAAGCAAGCATCATGGGCTGCGTGGTTAGTTGGGATGCAGCTTCGCCTACCTTCGGCAGTGCTGCGCCATGCCCCGACAGAGGAGACGCCACTGAAGTGCGTCAGCTTCAGGACTGCTTCAGAAGCTTTGACAGTTGAGAAATGCTGAAGTCACAGTAGCCTTTGAATTCTGTCTCCGGACTTCCAGGGACCTCATCGACAGCTCTTCCCAGAGACTGCAGAGGAGTGGGCGCAAGCACGCAACGAGGCTCTTGACTGAAGCAGAGTGTCGAGCTGTTGAGCCTCTTGAGCAATGTCGCAGGTCGCTGTCGCCGCCTTTGTCCCGCTCAGTTCCTTAGCTCGAATCTGATGTGTGGTTGCGGGGTCAGTGAGTCAAAGCATGTTGTCATGGAGGCTCGTGGAACACTCAGCAAGCCTTGGCCAGACTGTCATGTGAGCATAGAGAAAGCATTGCGCACGGTGCCACGACTTGACTTCAGGCTTCCAAAGTGTCGAAGGCGTCCTGGGAGTCAAGCTCAAACGCCTCTGGCATTCTGCTTGGGTCCTGCGGCATCGATCGAAGGACTGCCCGACAATCTCTCGTGAGTTCCGCTTGATGTGTTTACTTCCCTCGTGAATCTTGGGAGTTTCCTGACTTGAACCTGGGGAGTTTCCTTACTTGTGCATTCAAGTGCACTACTGGTGCTCGGTAACTGGCGACGCATTTTCTTCCAATGCTCACGTCCGAAGACTGATGTTACAGTTTGCTATACTACGTACTATCCTACGCTATATACCATATAGGAGGGGAAATGAGGGGGTGAATCTGCGAAGCTTCGAGAATTGAATCCTCGGAGAGCGGCGTTTATAGTATACTACATTATGCATGAAGAAAATAGAAGGTACTGTAGATCGAAGATGAATTATGCAAAATATATACTACGAGCAGTATAGTTCATTTTCTGCAACGTATGCATAACATTTCCTGCAACGTGTATGGTCTGGTATCTGGCCTGGAAAAGCTACATATTGTTGCATAATGGCTTCAAGGTTTAAGTATGTAAGAACTCGAACATATATGATACACCGTCCGATATACAGTATATGAATATGGAAGGGAATAAATGCACAGTATAATATTTGTAGTGCAAATGTACAACCTATAATACATAATGCCCATTGATATCAAAGTCCTGCATGGTGCTCAATCAACCGTTTCTCAAGCATGACGCCCTGCATGGTCAAAGACTGTTTCTTAACTGTAGCCCGCTGCGTGGTCCGTTTCTTGATCATAGCTAGTTTTCTAGCCAGGCAGCCGTTTCTTACGCATAGACTCTTGTATGGTCAAGCCACCCTTTCTCAATCATTCACGCACCGGTTCGGCATGGGGGAGGGCAGAAGGAAATGAGAGCCGGCCCTGGCACAGCGCGACAGATACCGCCTGGGCCTGACACCCGTGCCACGAGTGGCTCCGTATCAATAAAGCATGCGACGTTTTGTGGCGCTTCGCAGCTTCGACCGAGTAGGCGCACCTCGAGCCCACAGTGCCAGGAGGACCGGAGACCCCCGACATCTTCGAACTCCCTACTTCTCGAGGGCTTATGCTTGGCGGAAAGATTAGGCACTGAGGTTGACGTCGCAAGTCCAGTTGGCTTTTCCTCGCGACCCGTCCCGCGAGGAAATTGGTACCCGAGCACAACATAGAAACGTCAGCGACCTGTCAACTGGTGGACATCTACGACGTGGAAGAAGGCAGCGCGCTCAAGAGAATGCTGGAGCTCGGGACGTGGGACTGAGGTTTAATTGCAAGTACTTCCAACTAGAATCACAAGAGAGTAACTGTCATGGTACTTGTAGATCCCACCCGAGGTTCAGCGATCGGACCATGAAATGAGAGCAATCTGTAGAGAGGCTGCGAGTCCAAACGCCACAACGCCAGCCTTGCATGCTTCAGAGGTTTGATGCGTGAATATGTGAATATCCGCAGATCGACATGACTGAGCTGCGAAGCTTTACTGCCCGGCAAAGGGAGTAGGCCGGACCTCGATGTACCTGTTCGTTCAAAACAAATCGAACGACCACAATTGAACTTGAATCATGCAGACCTCTTTAGCTTAAATCTCGCACAGTGATAAGGCGCAATAGATGGGTTGGGGTTCTTTTTGCGTATTTGCTTTGGTTTCTTTTGGGTATTTGTTTTGGTTGTCGGTTCAGTGGGTACGTGTGTCCAGAAGTACGTCCGTCAGTCAGTCGGTGAGCCAACGTGGCGGTCAGTCAGTCAGTCAGTCATTCGGTCGTCCAAACAACAGCGGAAACAAGGGGCGGGTTTGTTTAACCTCTGTGGTGAGACGGAATCGCCAAATGAGGGCCACGTTCAGCGTGTATGATGAACCGGAATCGCCAAATGAGGGCTTGCACTTAAAATTTGAACATGCCCCCTCAATTGGCGATAACAGTGAATCATATATCCTAAACACCCCCCCTCATTTGGCGATTCCGGCTCCTCATACATGTTAAACATGCCCCCCCTCATTTGGCGATTTCGGTTTATCCTATATATTAAACATGCCTCGTTTGGCGATTCCGGTTCATCATACGTGTTAGACTCACCCCTCATTTGGCGATTCCGTCTCACCATGCATCTTAAACACAGCCCCGCACGCGGCGGCTCCGGTTCGCCATATATCTCAAACACGCCGCCCACTCATTTGGTGAGTCCTGTTCATCATACATCTTGAACAGGCCCCTATCATTTGGCGTGCAAGATATGATAGAAATGTGATGAACACCGGCATCACCAAGTAAGGGGGGCGGCGTGTTTGAGATATGTAATGAACCGGACTCGCCACATGAAGGTGCGTGTCTAAGATGTAATTATGGTGAGCCTGAATCCCCAGACGAGGGGCCATGTTTAAAATATAGGATAGACTGGAATCGCCAAATGAGGGGGCGTGTTTAAGAGGGCATGTTTAGTTTAAGGTATATGATGAACTCGAGTCGTCACATCAGGGGGAATGCTTAAGATATATGACGTACTGAAGATTTACGGCCCTTCTACATGTAAAGTTGTTATCTGACTGCGCAGCTTAGCCATACTGTAATCCTTTGGCTCAAGGCATGAAAAGGTACGTGCTTTTGCCGTTCCTTTCGTTGAGGGTTGGGTCCTTGCTTTCGGTCCCCGGCCCCCTTCTTGTGATCATCCATTCCCCCTTGGTTGTTTCCTCGGTTTGGGTCTG